ATATCTGATAAATTATCATTAAATACTTCCGGAAGTGTATCAGTTTTGTTGGTTTCCTTCCTTTTTCTGAGAGGGCATTTCTAAAAGCGCCAAGAACTTGAAGACGAAGACTATTTGAATGACCAAAATACAATGTAACTGCAAATGCTTTATGGGTTCGTGCAATTATATAGTTTTTCGTAGACTGACCTGCATGGTTTCCACCAATGAGATCGCTTCATTCAATGTGGACTGTGCCGCGCCAGCACGGCCAAGGGTGTCTCTGAGTGGGCGGGGGGAGGATTAAGGAAAGACAGACAGAGAATAATAGCTGGGTCTCGGTGGGACGTTGCTCCCTGAAGAGGAGATAACGCCAGCGCCCACAAGCCGTGTCTTTATTTTATAGTAGATGCCACGAGGCAAAGTAGGGGCGTGATCACGTTGTTTACAGCATTCTTGTGAGTCTCAACCTCACTCAACTACATGCACCCGAACTCTATCACAAGGCACGTGGGGCTACATGTTCAGACCATAGGTTCAAGCTTACAACCACAGCCGTTGGCTATAATTGTGCTGGGAGGGCCCTGCCCTCCAGCTGGGACTTGCACGTGGCAGTGAGAGGACCCTGTCCTTTCATTAGTCCGAGGTTTGAACCTGGCCAAAACACTGTACCCGCGCCCCACAGTGGACAAGACAGTGTGTTGACATCTCAGGTCCATAACAGATGGCGCGTGAAAAACGAGAACACTTGTGAGTGGTCCTTAACAGATGGCGGGCGAAACACGAGAAAACTCGTGAGCGGTACGCAATGTGTTAACACCTGGCAGCGGAAACGACAACCACCCTTGCGAAGCCAGTATTACGCTCCAGGTAAGGGCTAGCAGTACACAAAAGCCAGAGTACATGGTTTAGGGCAGGCAATAAACAATTTACATTTTCAGGAGCAAATCGCCAATATTTATTTAAAAAAACCTACACATCTTACTATAATACGAGCATGAGTAAAAGTTAGGTGGTTTGGGAAACAATATATTCTCTACTGTTAAATGCACCACATGCTGGACTTCGGTTCTCTTCAGCATCGGCCGTTTCCTGTGTATTTCCGTTCCCGGTGCCAGTGCCTCTGATTTACCTGGAATCATCAAAGGAGGGGTGTGGGGGGGGATCCTTTAAGAAGCTGATCGACTTTGGGTCCCACATTGGAAAACTACCAAACATCAATCCCCTGATGGGTCACTGAGGAGCACTTCTGAGTAACGCCTTGTGTGGGAGGCCCCCTGCCAGGGAAGGCGCCATGGCTCTCCTTTAAGTCATGTCGACTGAACCCAAGGCGTGGGCACAGCCTTACCTCGGGGGCATTTCTGACCAAAAGGTGAGAATGCCTTCAGCTCAACTCTTCAAAGCCGAGGTGCCTGGGAATGGGTTTTTATTATGTAAATCCAGTCAAGCACCAGGAATACCTCCCTTGAGTTTTGGTGAAACCTCCTGACATTTTGGGGAATTTGGGCTATAAAATAAACACGCTGCTTCGGTGCTGGGTCTCTCTGCCAGAAGAGAGCGGAAGTCACCCAGACCCAGCTTCTCCCTCTATTTCTGTGTCTGTCTTTTCATTTCTCTAATCCCAAAAGCGCCTCCTACTTAAAAGAACCCGTTCTCTCTCTTTCTCTGCCGGCCCCCCCCCCCCCATGCGGAGAAGGGAGCCCCCCAACACAGTCTTGAGTTTATTTTCACTTTATCAGGCTCAAGTTTCACACTGAAGGATGAGTTGGAAGGTTCCCTTGCTGACAGCACCTGTACTTACTTTCTGAATTCGGGCACCTCCAAAGCATAAACAGGTCACCCCCAGACACAACTTTTTGAAAACCAGTCCTTTGTAGCAGTACTTAGTGTCCAACAGAAACCACTCCATCTGTTAAACAATATCTCGACTGCAAAGCTTCTCTCACTGTTGGTGGATAGATAATGACACGGACAGTCACTATCACCATGGCAACAGTGCCCGGGAACTATCAGAGGAACATTGCACATGGCAGGCTGGCTCTCGAGCAGTCATGCCTCAGCTTCCTCCGGGGTTTGCTTTTTCTGCAAGTCTGGTGTGCCCTCGGGTACCGCCAACCCAGCGCGGATCCAAGACTGCAGACCACGCGGCGACCTGCGCTCCCCGACTCCCACCCGCAGGAGCACAGACTCAAATCGCGGGCCTGGGCGCGAAATCAGCCCCCATCTAATGCCACGGAGGCCGGAGGAGGCGACGGGCCCTCCTTTCTGTACTCCGCACCCCCACGTGGCCGTGCACCTGCCTCTCGCGTCCCCGCTCGCCCCGTGCCGCGCACGCACCTGCTCACGTTAGTCCAACGAGCCAGTTCCCGTCTCCGTTGCCCATTCAACGGGGAGGAAGGTCAGCGCACGCCAAACCCCGGTGGGATCATTCAGACGAGAGCGCTTTACAAACTTCTAAAATAAAAGGGTTTTCTTTTTTTTCTTTAGGGAAATAAACGAGAGCCAGAGGCCGGAGCCAGCGGGCCGGGCCTGGACCTACCCCCCCACGTGGGCGGCGGGGCCAGGAGAGGCGGGGGGTGTGGCCAGGGCCGCGGGGAGCAGCCCCGGCAGGCCCCGCACGCCAGTGCC